AAAGTCCATGGATTTTGACAGCATGTAAGTGTAAATATCCTCTGATTCATCCTTTCAATTTTGTTTGAAATTGTAATGTGTTGTAATTTACTGGGGAGAGCAAAAGACCAAAGAAAGACAGATAAAGGTATCTCATACTTAAGAGAATCCCTTTACCTAATATTCTTTACTATTTGCAGAGTATTTTAAAGCTTCTTGCTGCAATCCAGGTTTATGAAGATCTGGCAGCTACAATCTGTCCTGAAAAAAAAAAAAAAGATCATCCTTTTCTCTCAGCCTTCAAGGAAATCCCTCATATACTCCAGAGCATCTGGCATCAAAGGCCTTGGAAGAGATAGAAAACTGGCAGAACAAATGGATTGGCCATTCCCTTCACAGCTGCTGCAGCATTAAGTTAATACTTATTTAATTCTCTCATCCCAGACTCAATCTCCCATTTTCAGCCTAAATGCAAATAAATAACAGGACTTTTAAGTATTAAAACTGACCACTTCTGACAAAACACAAAACCTAAGCAGACTCTATTTAAGTGTAAAAAGTGAGATATACAGTACCATTATTAGCTTTGTATATGGAAGGAGACAGTGGGACATGCAGGAATATAACTATTCCTATAAATAACATGTTTTCCGTATTATCAATTTATTAATAATTACTACAAATGAAAGAGCATTAGAAAAGAACATCTAGTCTCCCAGTTATATAGATCCTTCTTTTCAGGACATTCAAAAGTGTCCAGGAACACGGAAATACCAAGCCTGCAGTCCCCAAACTCCTGGAATTAAGGGAAGAGTTACAGTTGCAAAGTGCTGGGGCTGTAAAGTAAATCCCAACTAGCTCAGTAACACCGATTCTGCAGTACCTGCAATGCTCAACATCTTCGACCCAAAAAAGAGCCGGTATAAAATATTACCATTCCATAAAAAAAATCATTATTTGATCCCTTAAGTAGCCCCTGAAGTAGAAGGCTGTGGTGAAAATTTATCAGGCATTTTCCTCCAAATGGAATGTACGCTCCAATACCCAAAGAGGTCTATAGGACATGAAATTTTAACAGAATTGTTAATGTCTTTCTAGGTTTTATAATACCACAAAGAGATACTCATCATGTGCTTCCACGACAGCAGATAAATGCTAATGCCTGTAGCACACAACACTTTCAGAGTGGTTTTGAACAAAAGTCATCTTCTACTCCTGTTGGGTAAATTAATGGGATCAATAAATTTTGTAGTATCTCCACATAAGACACTTTACCTTCACAAACTTAATCAGTAAATTCACAATGTACAGAAGGGACCACAAACAACTTGTGTGGATTCCCTGAAAGGCTGGTCTGCTCTGAGAAACATGAAAAGTCAAAGGCCTGGGGATTTTCAGATGTGAACCCATGCCTTGATGTGGGAAAGGTTTGTGGAAGATCCTAAAGGTCAGATGTGAGGCTCTCCCTTATCAACAAGGTCATATGTTAAGTGAAACTGAAACCAGGAGGAGTGTACTCCCTGGAACCACAAGCACCACTCTGATTACAGTAAATATATTTTCAAAGGGAAAGAAGTTTAAAAAGTGATGTTTAAAAGTGTATTTATCAGCATAAAGAAATATGTCCACTAAAGGAGTTGTTCTCAGGTAATATCCATAAGTATTTCCAATGGCATGAAATTTAAAGCTACTTCCAAAAAACAAATCTAGTTGTAACTCTTGATCTATAGTTGCCTCTGATTGGAAACAGTAATGATTTCGCTAGAGAGTAAAAAAAAAAGAAGTCTTTTCTGCCTCTTTTAAACTGGAAAACTCTGTATTTACTTTTGTTACAGTAAGAAATTTTTGCTAATTTTATCTTGGGACATTTTGCTTTGGTTAGAAAGAAATGATGATTCAAAGCCTGCTAATCATTTAGGAGAGATACATGAGAAAAATGCCATTATCTCTCTTTGCAAGGGGAACGTGCAGGCACTAAAATACATCCTTGTATTTGAGCTAAACAAACCTTGAGCAGACAGACACGGACTTAGACGAGCTTGAGAACAGAAAAGGAAATTCCACTAGAATGACTTCAGACTTGTCAGGTTTTTGGTTTTGTTTTCATTTTAGGAGGAGAGTTTGAGCATGTACAATCTCCCTTCAACCTACTCCTACCTGGGTTATCTGACAAGTTCGAGTTCCTTAATCCACAACCCAGCTAAACCCACTGCTTCAAATTCCTCCCTGTCAGCTGGAGTGAGTTCTGATGTGCCTCCTGGAAGCACACACTGTCCATATGAGGTACTCACACAAATTCCCTCCTTTTGGGTGACAGGCTGCAGTTCCAGCAGCTGAGCCCATTCCCTTATGGGGCAGAACCCTGGAGCAATATTATAAATACACCTTGAGTTGTGTTTGTGCAAGGTGTGGCCCTGTGGCACTTGAGGGCTCCTGGCAGGAGGTCTGTGCAGGGATGGTGCCTCACCACCAATGTCAACACTGTGGGATCTGTAGGAAGGAATCTTCCACTAACCAAGACCATTCCAGCTGGAGTTTGGCCAGTGCTCGATATCACTTCCCTAGTAGGTGGATCTACATTGTCCTGATTGATTTAAATTCAGCAGAGGAAAGCTGAGCTGATTTAGAGTGCTCTTCCCACATCTAACACTGAACACTCATTAAAACAAATCAAATTCCCCAAACTTTTGTTGGAACAAAGTCACCATTCCCATTTCCCCACGTTCAGGGACACTGGTAAGATATGGGGTGGCAGAAAGCAAAGCCCATCCACAGCACACAACACTGTGGAGCAGCTTCTGGGTAAGGAGTGAGGTGCTCTGTTTTCCTTCTGAAGCCAAACCCTTCCGAGACTCCAGCAGGTGCAGTGCAGGAGATAAAGGAATGAAGTGGTTGCTAACTGGTTCCCACATTGGTGCAGGGAGCTCCTCACTCCCTCTTCACAGACACAGGAACGAAGGACACTCTGCTGCTATTTTGTGATTTTATCACACAGCTAAACATAATGAATGCAACATCTTCCTTTGTAAAAAAGGCAAGGTTAGACAAATGGTCAGGGAAACGAGCACATATTCTCCCTAAGGCTGGGTTTCAGCATTATTATGCAAAACAGAAACTGTCCTATGCTTTGGATATACCTGAGGGAATCAGTCCCAGAATGTGAAAACCAAAGGATTTCTCAAGGTGAGCACAAGTGTTTGCTCTGCAGGAACTTCAAGTTCTGCCCTACAGTTTGAAGGTCAGACTGTGCTTCTCCAATTCCAGCCAAAACTCATCCAGGGATACTGTGTTCATTTTTTGAAAATCAACACAATTTTCCAAGGAACTAAACTCTTTCACCATTAACTCCCAAAAACATCTACATCTTGCAAGAAACACCTATCAACAGAAGTTAACTTACTGATTTATTCAGTAAACACTGTGTTTTAATGAACATGGCAGCCTGATATTGGAAATTAATGATTTTTCTCTTGCTGAATGTTGAGCTTTATATAGATCAGTGTTATGAGGCTTCCATCACAGCAAAAGGTCCTTTTTATTAATGGTTACTTTATCATTTAAAACATGTATGTTGTTACTTAAAATGGTAAATTGCTTTGCACTGTCCTTGAAGTGCATTGCATAAATATTGTATTAAAGCCTTAGCTTACACTTCATAAATAATTTAATTTTAAAATACTCTTCCATGAGACCACCAGCTGGCAAGATGTTCAATTTTCTGGTAAAAACATGTATTTATTGCACGTCTTAATTTAACTTGTTGAAGATTTGCTAAAAGCCACATGTGATAGATGTTGTAAGAACTGTATTCAAACCCAAACCTCAGGAAGCTAAAAAGCCTCATTCCCCTCATAAGTTTTATATCTCTGCATAAGCAGTTTCAGCGGCAGTGGAAAAGCTGAAATCTATTCAAGGAAGCTTTCAAGCATAATTTTCTGATAACCTGAAAATGACTTATAGCTTATTATGTGATGATCAGAAAACTTTATAGATTCCATTAAATTTCTTTTCACTGCAGTCCTTCCTCCACCATTTCCATTTCATGTTGCTGCATTTAAACTGCTGTAGAAACTTGTTCAAAGTGCCAGACATTAAAAAAAAAAATCAAAGGAAATTTCAGATAATTAACTTTGATGAATGAGCATATTTTAATTCATGTCTGGTAATATTCTTGTTAATGACATGTCTGCTTAGGACATCCATTAAAAGTCCATTAACTTAACAGGGAAAGTCTAATAAAGTTATCCTGGAAATTTTCTGGTGTATTAACGTTATGGACTTTAAATGAATATCTGCTGTAGGAATTGCTATTAGCAAGGCTACCATTCTAATTAAACTTGGGCTCTGAGAGTGAAAAAAAATGTATAAAGATAACAACAAGCAGAAGTAGCACTTTTTTTGAAAATTGCTATAAGGGAGATTGGTTACAGGTTGCAAATCACACTATCAGTAACAGCTATAAATTACGATATTATGGCTTTTTTTTTGTAGCTTGCCATCCAGTATATGCAAACAGAGTGTTTCCTTCATGGAATTGATTGCTGGGGCTCCTATTTACTTCTAGATTGTTGAGACTGAACTGTACAAAAAAAGGCTTTTTAGACCTTTGCAAAGGGTAGAAGATAAAATATTTAAATACAGTTCCTCATGACAATGCAAAGTAAAAAACGTACTTAGGAAACCTGTTCCCTGTGGGCATCCAGCCTTCTCAGCAGCCCATCTGAAGTACATCAAGCCCAGATACATTTCTGCTGACATTCACAATTATACAGCAAAGCATCTTTTGATATCTATATATCTATTCTTCACGCAATTCCAGAATGGTTTGGGTTGGAAGGGACCTTAAAGATCATCTCATGCCAACAACCTGCCATGGGCAGGGACGCCTTCCACCAGACCAGGTTGCTCCAAGCCCCATCCATATATATATGTTTATATCTGATATATTTATATATATATATATATATATAGCTTTTTATTAGTATGAATATACATAGGTATGAAACAACACCCTGATATACCTATTTTTTCATACTTATCCTTCACCAAACATTCCAAACCAATCATTTTCCAGAAGCTGTCATCCCAACCCTTGTCTGACGTGTACGTCCACTTGCACACGACTGTACAGAGGGACCTGGAAAAGAGACAATATGGGCACAGAATCAGGCAGGTGAACACATTTGGCTTTAAACCTGTGACTAGAAAAAAGTTTCTGCAAAAGGATCTCTTCTTCACTGGTCCAAAAACCCCGAGCATAATGCTAACATTAAAAAAACTGGTTACTGTTTGGAGTGCACGTCTTAAGGACCTTAAAAGGACCTTGTGTTTAAGATTCTTCTCTGCTGAAACAACCCCTGGTCTGGCCACTTCATTGCATAAATCAGTCAAATAACAGGCCATGCATTTGCCTAGAGGACAGCAGAGCATGAACACAGCAGCTCTTTAGCAGGCAGCTCAGATTGCTGCTATTCCAGGCTAAATAACTGCTTTGCACACTGTATGAAAAACTTTGTATTTCTTATTTTCAAACCAAATTACCAATTACAGGAGATCATGTATACACTGGTAACCAGGTTACATGTTCAAGTCTGATTCTTGATAAGCTGAGGTTGCACTGCAGGAGCAGGATATACACAAAATACAAGAACACTTGCAGAAAAGTCTGTCATAAAACACAGAACGGTCTTCTCCCAAAATTATTGATATTCCCATTCTCTCACTCCTCCCCAAAATAAGAAAAACGTTCCTGAAGATTTAGTATTACTAAGACTCTTTTCTGTCTGAACACTAAGAGTCATCTCAGAAGATCAGTATTAAACTGCACTTGAGAAGTCAATAAACTAAGATGTATTAAAAATGCTAAATAACACTGAAAATTGCAGCTACGTGTAGGCTTGGGAATACCACTGTGCCATCAAGTGCAAGACATCTCAGATGCATCTCAGGGAAACAGAACTTCATAACTGTTCTCAAAGAGAAACCCTGTTCAGAGCTGGATTGCCTTTGATGTTTTACAAGGCAGCTTATTTGTGACTCATTTTTAGCCAAGGTGAGCTCTCACAGACATATTCTCTTTACCAGGATGTTACAATTTGAACGTGTATCTTCAAAGCAAAGTCCATTTTACTGAAGCATTTGAGTTCTTCTGGCAGTTTCGCATAAGTAAAAATCCAAATAAAATTCCTCTCTACAAAAAAAAATTTTTGAGTAAAAGGAAACCTTTCCTTTCATCCAAGTGAACTACCTAAGGATTGAAGTATGAACCACAGAATGGTTTGGTTTGGAAGGGGCCTTGAAGCTCATCTTGTTCCAACCCCCTGCCATGGGCTGGGACACCTTCCATCAGTCCAGGCTGCTCAGAGCCCCATCCAACCTGGCTTTGAACAGAAAAACAGAAGCTATTTTTATTTACTATATACAAATCAAAGCTAAGGCTTCTGGACACTGGTACTATACACACAGTAAAGCCAAATAAGAACACGAAGAGCCTTCCACACAGATGGAAAATTATCTGGGACTCACATTCCATGTTTTGGGGGTTTACAACAAGAACCAACACCCTTTAATGTGACACTGAGAAGAATGAATGATTCCAGGGACTCCCTGAACTCCCATTTTCTCATCTAGGACAGAAATGTATATTTTAAATGCATCATGTTTCACTTCATCCTGTTCTACTGGAATTACCATGTTTTTACAACCAGAGCACAGGTGATGTTCATTCACATCCCACTGATTATAAAGGGGTGTTTTTTGCTCTTGAGAATTAATTAACATCTTTTTGGGGAAAAAAAAAAGATATAGAGTTAACTATTTATATACCTATAGATACTGTAGAGATTATTTCAGGGCTACTCTTAAAACAGCTTTGATACCTCACCCCCTTTTTTTTATTAACAGTTTAAGAATAGATCAGGCAATCACAGTGCAGTGATTCTGTGAAAATAGAAAAGCACATGACCTGTAACTACAGCAATGACAATGTTGATATAAGAAATTCCAATTTCCAAGGATTTAAAAGCCAGACACAGAAATCTAATTAGGACCTTTGACAAAAACTGGGTGAATAAATAAATTCTAGGCTGAAGAAAATACTGGGAAAAAATAAACATTTTCCCCACATCAGTTCAAACCCCTCATAAAAAGGAAAAATAAAGACGGGGTATTTGACAAAAAAAGCACTTCATCACTTTAGGAAAAATTTAGACATAAAGAGTGAAACAATAATGAATCAAGTTTTCCCAAATATGGGAAATACCAAATCATAACAAATCATCATCAGAACTGAGTGTGTCTTTTTCTAATTAAATCGGAGCTCTGAACTAATGCCACACCCTGAAAAATGCTCCAAAGAGCATGTTTTAAACAGGGCCAGTTCTCCCAGAGAGCTCCCCCTGTGGAACACCACACACACGGGCCACTGAAATGGCGTGGATGGGACAGACCAGCCCCTGCCAATCCACAGAATTCCAGCAGAACACAGCTCTCTCGCAGGACATGGCTGGACTGAACACATTGTGTAGATTTATAAGTGCAAAGTGCTTGCAGGAGAAGGACAAATAGATGATTTTTGGTTGAATTTTTAAACAAACTGGGAAGGACAACTCTTCCCAAATGAACTGACTGGCAGATCTCTAAGTGGAAGGTTCTGATAGGAAAACCAACCTCAAATCTGACCTAAAACGCCAACATATTATGTTGGTAGGTTTTTATTTCCATGGCCACAACAAGGAACTCAAAATGCTTGTTGGAAACGCAGTCAAAGCGTTTGCACTTATCTGGGACTTAAGCTCCTTATTCCACTCTTGCTGCCACTCAAAAAGTAGGCTTTTAATGGAACAATATGGCTTTATAAAAATCCTTAATATCTAAGAGAAAGGGTTATACAGCAGAAAGGACTCTGGTCTCTAAGATAACAGCTCAAGATAAAGGAATTTCTTTGAGATGCCTGTAATAATAGATTAATGTCACCACAAGCTTCAGAAGCACCTGGATGTGTTGAACTCAAATACCTTCCCTGATGAGGTGCTGTAGTAATTACAGACAGATGCTCAATTTGCATATGCTGAGGAGCTCTGTGCACACACAGAGAGCACTTCATTCATGGTTTGTCACTGCTGAAGCCAATGGCATAGACAGATATATATTATATAGATTTATATTAACTTCATGGGAAATCACTCAGAAATTCTTCTCAGAGTATCCCCCTGAGAAAAGAATAGCACGACTCCTAATGTGGGAAAACTGTATCCAGAAGGACTATGGTAAAGACCAAATCACTACACCTACAAAGAAAGCCTCAACTATGAGAATATTTTATATTTCACAGTAACTCCCAAATTTTATGAGATGAAGGGCAGACGTTAAACAGAAACAGAGGTGATATTCACTGCGGTATATCCCATTTTTCCTAACTATTTGGCAATATTGCCTCAATTATTTGGCCATAAACACGAGACTTGTGCTGGCTGAAGCTGGATGAACCAGATGGATAGAAGCAAATGTTCCTCTTATTTTACTATCAGGATCAAATGGGTCCAAAGGTACTGAGTTAACAGGCAATCCTTGAGGCAACAGTGCTCTCCCAGCTGCCTGATCCAGCACAAGGTTTGAGAAGCTGTGGTGTGGAACTCCTCAGTAGCATAAGTCATATTTAGCCAGGCTGAAACACCATGAATTTAAAGACTCTTTTCTTCAAGCATATTCCCAATACAATGAAATGAAAGCTTTCCTTTCTCTGTTCAGAACAAAAAGTTTTGCTTAGAATATTCCTACTGAAAAAAAAAAAAAAACAACCGTTGTGCATGGAAAATTTATATTTAAACCAGATTTTCAACAGGAACATGATTATGCTTAGAGTTTCTTACAAATACCAGTCTACAAAGAACTGTAGGGTCCTACTTGCATCCAACAGCCTCAAGAAAAGAAAATCCCTGCCACACTCATCACAAATGTTCATTACAGCACCTTGCACAACCCTTCCTCTCACTGTCCAGCTCTGAGTTTATGCACATCTCTTGCTGAGGACTGACTGTGGATGTGCTGAAGTTCTGTATGTTCAGAACCTCAGTAGTCTTAAAAACTCAGTTCAATCTGTAGGGATTGAACACACACTGGTAATTCCCAAAATGCTGTCTCAAAGCAACTAGGTGCCCTCACTAACCTGCAAAAGGATCCAGGGCAAGTGGACTTGTGGTCACTTTGGTGCTCAAGGTGAGCTGTGGCTCTTCCCACATTATCTGCTCTTTCTGAGTAGTATCTCTCACTCTCTTGTACTTCTTGGAGAGAAGGAAATTAGATACATTTATGAAAATGGGAAATACTGTGTGGTCTAAGTCATCTGCATAAAATGTATCTAAAAGGTAAAGGTCACAAAAAATTTCTCCACAGCTCTGAAGAGTCACCAGGGCTTTACACTTTGGTCCATTCTTTGCTGACACCATCTCCCACACTCCAAATGGGATAAAGCAAGTACGGACACAACTCCCAACTCTGCAGAGATTCAGTCCAGTCTGGAAGAATACCTGCTATGAAAATACAGTTGGGGGATACTCCTTAACTGCAGTTGTCTTCTGGAAGTCATCCTAATTTTGAATAGGGTAATAGGTAAATCCTACTAACTAAAAGTTATTAAAAGCACCTGTTTCTTCCTGAAAAGTGATCCCATAAGGCATTTCTACACGACCTTCCATTCCAGAGGGTTGGTTCAATACTAGTTAGCCTGGAAAATGCATCAGTTACCAGTTTTAAGGGCAGAGAATCCTGTCTGGGCCACCCTGAAGTGAATGCAAGCTTTGCTCTTGATTGCAAAGCAAAAGGATCTGCTTCATTCATCCCAACTGCTCAGAAATGAATTTAAACTCATGAACTTAATTAATTTTACAGGCATCATTAACAAGGTAACAGTCTAATCACAGGATATGTTCCCTGGATCACTGTCCAGTGGTGATGAACTAAAACCAGCTGCACCTGCTGAGGGCTGGACCGAAACTAAATCCTACAGAAGTGAGAACAGAGTATAGTTAGAACCCAAAAGGAACAGTGTGGAGCAGGATAAAGTCACACTCTGTGGTGTGTTGGGCAGATTTATTTAAAGCTACAAAGAATCAAGAGCTAAGAAAGCTTTATGATGTT